TTGTTAGAGAAACTAGGTAACACTATTTCTACTGTGTTTGTATAGCCACTCAAACGGAGAGTCAATGGGCAGATCTGTTCACTAAGAGTTTAAATGTGGTTAGAGTGATTCATATTTGTAACAAGATGATATCCATGCTCCAGCTTGAAGAGGAGTGTTGAGAGGTGTATAATCAGGGGCAAGGTTCAAAATATCGATACAGGCCGATATGCCCCTAATGCTACATACTATATTTCAGTTAGTTTGGCTTCAAAATCTCCTACAGAGACTTGGGTAAGGTATTTCAATCCCTATGAAGCGACATTTTAATAACCAGGTGGCAGTTCACATCACATCTAATACTGTTTTCTATGAAACAACCAAGCATATAGAGGTGGACCATCATCTTGTTAGAGAAACTAGGTAACACTATTTCTACTGTATTTGTACAGCCACTCAGACAGAGAGTCAATGGGCAGATCTGTTCACTAAAAGTTTAAATGGGGTTAGAGTGATTCATATTTGTAACAAAATGATATCCATGCTCCAGCTTGAAGAGGAGTGTTGAGAAGTGTATAATCAGGGGCAAGGTTCAAAATATCGATACAGGCTGATACGCCAGTCGCTTCCCCCTTTTTTTAGTTTTCTTTTTCAATCTGGTTCAGAGGGGTCAGTTTAAGGCCCCTCTACCCCCTGAACCAGGGTCTGACCTGAAACTCCCCCTGTAGGGGCCCCCCGATACAGGCTGATACATTGCAATTTTTTTATTCTTGCTCAGGGGTATATGTCTCCTTTTACTTTATTTTATGTTTTAAAGATATAGTTATATCATTTGCCTTGTTTAGTTGTATCCAATGTTCAGAGAACCGGACAAGGCATAAAACCAGAGAAAGGGAGAGGTTCACGGGTCAGAGGTTCAACAGGGGTCAAACCAGAGGTCAAACCTTAATGATGTGGCATATATGCATATATACTATGGGTTATCTAAATACTATATATTATATATTTTACAACTTTTAATATAATTAAATATGGTGGATGGATGGCAAATTCCTCATTTTTTAAAGAAAATGACTAGGGTTCAAGTCTCTTAATTTAAATTTTATTTAAAATGTGTGTAATAAAGTAATATATACAATAAAGAATCATTAAATAACACAAAGAATTCAACTAGTGGTAATTAAGTAATATATGAAAATAAGAAGTCATGGATTCAAGTCTTGTTAAACACGTTTTAAAATTTCAATAATTTAATGGCCTGGGTTGTTTCATGAAACCGGGACAGGTTCATTTAATCGGTTTTCTGGTTAAACCAGCCGGTCAGCTGGTTTTCACCAGGTTTTTAGAAAATACAGTTATTGGGGTGTGACCAAACTGGCCAAGGCCTTGGGTCATGGTTCAACCAGTCCAACCATCCGGTCCGGTCCAGTTTCCTAAACACTGGTTGTATCCATCCCAACTTAATCATGGTCAGTTGGTCACATTAGTCAGTTATAATGCTAATAAAAAAAAAGGTTAGTTATACTTATCCTTGAAAGCATGTATTTATTCTGGCCACCAAGGGGAGAGATTACTCTTCTCTCCTCTCAATTTCTCTCACTCTCCCTGTCTCGTTTCTTCTATTTATTTCCCTTTATTTTCCTGTTTTCCGCTCTATTTAAGGACTGAACACCATCAACACTCACCATTGATGACTTGAAAAAAAGAGAGGTTATATAATAACCAGCTTGCATTATATGTGTAACAGTAACAACAAGAATGTTAGACATCTCTTCATTGTAACTTGTAAGAGGGATCATGAAAGATTATGTGCTGATGCTGGAAACATGATTCCAGAATTTTTGAATGTTCAAAGATCGCCTTTTCTTGTCCACTCCTGATACAGTATCTGATGTTGGGATTTGATTTTGTATTTCCTTTTCCTTTTACTTTCTTTTTTATGCATCTCTCCGGGTTGGAGGCATGGAGTGTTTAATCACCTCTCTTCTATTATGTACTCTTCTTAAAGAAATTTATTTGCACTTATAATAAAAAAGTAGAACAATACAAATGCACAAAGTAAAATTTTTATATATTATTTCCCCATATTGTAGCCATGTACAACATGAATATTCCCTTTTAACATTAAGTGTTCAAAAGAATTGTTCCGTATACTACAACCAAAATGTGCAAAGACTTTCAATATAAGATCTGTGCCAGGAATAAAGATCACTACCAACCTAACTCATAGTAGAAGTCACCAATCCCGAGTAGCTCAGCCCAGAAACCCTTGTTTGAGGCAAGGGGATCTACTCCAACTTTAGCACACATCTCATGAAACTGTGATCTGAATGCAGGATTTTTACGAATGTCATTCTGCAGTAGCAAAATGAATGTTGAAAGTTCAAGATTACTAAAAAGTTGAGTATGACCATTACCAATGGAGAAACAACATTCTATCTGGAATTTTATTAAAAGAAGCATATAGAGATTGAATAAATATGAAACAGGCACAAAAGATTAAATTAGTCATAATTATAATTGTTGGTATCCAGACCTGTTCGCGGGTTGAGTTTGGGCCCGACTTTTCACTATGTCGGACTTGGGCTTTGGGCCGGGCCCCGGGTCCATTCAAATTTTACAAAAGTCAAGCCCAAGCCTGGCCCATGAACAGATCTATTGGTATCTTGACTCAATTATCTTTATTGATGAACTGATTGAAGATGGTGTCATATATAGGATTAGAATTATATCTATCAAATATATATAATATATAGGATTAGAATTAGATGGATAAGGCAATGTACTTCAAAAGTGTCATGCAATCACCAAAACCATTGAAACTGATAATGATGCCCTTTAGTTAACAAGAAAGACAACAAATTCAACCATGCTTTATGAAGAAAAAAAAAATTATACTATCAAGAAATGAAATAACCATAAAGTGGAGTCACTGGCAGAATTGTTGCATAAGCTTTGCAGTGATCAAGTGGACAGCAGGGGAGAGGATAGAAAAACTTGGGAATGGGAGGAATCTGGAGTTTTCTCAGTCAAATATTTTTACAATTACATCTCCAGATTGGAGGAAAAATCTTTTCCTGTTAACATCGTTTGGTGTAAGAATGTGCACACAAAGGTATCTTTTTCTTGTCTGGACTGCCTATTTGAACAGAATTCTAATCAGGGACAATCTGGTGAGGAAAGGTATGGCCCCATTTGGCATTACTGGTGATTCTTTGGATTCTTAGGATGAGAAATACATTTGGACACGACTATGAAGTGTTTCTCGTTCGAAGTGGGATGAGAAGCTGGCTCTATAAGCAAGATTCTGGGAAGTGAAAAAAAAAAAACGACACTTCTCAGAATCGATGATTCTCGCAAGAGGCAATTCTTGCCACATTAAGTTAAAATAACGAACACATGTGCTGAAAGCCACATGTCAAAATATGGGCAAAAACGTAAATTCATTGATTATCACAAAAACCAATCGATAAACCCTACCCCACAGCCCTTCATTCTTCTTCCCTTCCATAATGCCATGGTTAGAGTGTATTTATGAAACTGCTACATTATTTAGTTCAAAAGCTTGATCATAGAATTGCTTTGCATGAATTCTTTTTGTTGTTGGCCATTTTTCTTATTAGTCGTGTGTATCATTTTAATTTTAAAATGAGCATGAGACTTCTCTCCTTTTTTATACGTATCTGGCAATGATTTAAACGTAATAGAGTACAATGCAGTTCATTTGGACTTATATATTTATTAAAACTGACATGGTTTTGTGTATCAATCATCTAGAGAATTGCTGCCAAATGATTTAAACGTAATTCATTGCTGCCAAACACATCTAGTGATTCTCTCAATGAAAATTCTCAGAATCCATTGTTTTCTGAAAGGATCCTGAGAATGAGAATCTCCAGAATTGATGCCAAACTGGGCCTATGTTGCTGGATTCCACCATTTGTGTCTTAGATCAGGAGCAAAATGAATCAATCAACCACCTGTTATTGCACTGTAGATTCTCTTTCAAGGTCTGGTATAAGGTTAGGAACTTGTTTGAGCCTTTGAGGTGCAAAGGTGCTGCCCAGAATCGAAGGTGGATTTTGTGAAGGGCTGGAGAGTCAAAGGTCTCACTAAGAGAGGAAAGCTGGTGTGGAACATGGTCCCTAAAGCAGGTTTTTGGAACATATGGCAGGAGAGGAATGCAAGGATCTTTAAGAATAAACTCTGCTCTACAGATACAGTTTTTCAGAAAAATGTGGGAAAATTACTCTTAGATGGTAGTAAATAGATTGTTTAAGGACAGAAGTTATAACTCTTTTTTTTTTTTTTTGAATACACTGTTGTAAAACGGGGTGTGGGGGTATAGGACTGCATAGGCAGTATTTGTAAATCCCTATGTACAGCTACTTGTTATACATGCCTTTTGTTTATTTTAATGGCATTATACTTTACCTTTCTCAAAAAAAAACGGCATACCCATAAAATGAGTTCAAGTAGAATAATAGATATCTAATAATTTTTTCAGAGAATAAGATTGAATTTTCAGAAACATCAGCAACTCTAATTTCGGCATACTGAACTCACTATCTACAAATTGGCAAAGCATTACAAACTAATACCAAACAATTTCTTTCCAATTCACAAAGAAAAGCTGCCGAAGAAGTTCCGACAAAACCAATGGCAGAGATTAATCATGTTCATTCAAGAAACCTGTGTGATACACCAAAATAACACAAAATGTTCAAAATAAAAAACCGAAAAAAAAAAGACCTTATGCTTGCGAGCAAATTCTTCTAATTGGGTTCGAAATGTAGTGAGCTGTTCTTTCATGATGTCGGTTCTGAGCTTGGTCACATTTTCTCCAAGCAATCGATATTGATCCTTAGAGAGAAATACAACAAAATGGAAAATAAAAAATCGATCCAATCAATCAAAATGACGAGTATGGATATCGAAGCAGAAATTACAAATAACAACAACAGAAATCAAAGCAACAAACCCTAGCAGCCGCGGCCGTCTGCAAACCCCCAATTCCTGGTCTTCTCCTCATTCTTCTCGAATGATCTGAGCGTAACTCGACCTTGAATGGGTAGCAACACCACTCTCTCAACCAACGAAATGTAACTCAAAGGTTTCGCCTTTTTGCAGAAGCCGATAATGTTCGACGACCAGTTTCAAACTTTCTGGAATTCAAACCTCGACGAAAAGGAGTAGCAGCACACGGTAAGCTTCCGGCTTGTTTCTGCTTTCAGTATCAGATTCATTTTAGACGTTTCGCGTCGTTCCGGGTTAACCCAACCCACCTATAAAGTAACAAGCCGGTTCGTGTTCTTTGTTGGATCTTGTTAGTTCGTCACCAGCCTCGCCCGAGTCCGGATCTTCTGCCCACAAGAACTCTGTCCACGTCTATACATAATAACATCGCAGACACAGTTTGAAAACATCTACACGGGGAGATATTCTAAATGCACGGGGTAGCGTGTTGTGGGTAGACATGGGTAGAGTCGCCTCGGCTACACGATCTCCAATATGTCTTGGCTGTCTTGACGATAGGATCAAAGTATAATATACTAGTAATTTTAGTTATTTCAGATAAATTTAATAATTTTAATATCTTTACTAAAATTATTTTATTTTCTTCTTAGTAAAAATACTTCTGCTTTATCATATTTTCTTTTGTTTATTATGATAAATATGTAATATTAGAAATGTGCACAAACTTTTATATTTTTTATCTATTTTTTATTTTTAATTATATAATTATGACATCATGATCTCACATATTTGACTTAAAAATACAATCTCATTTTTAGGCAACTTTAATTTTTTTTTATTCCATTTACATAATTAATTCTTATTTGCTTGATATGATAAGTTTATAATATCTTAGATATTATTGTGTTCCTATCTATTTATTAAATTGTTATTATTTAATTATGATATCATTGATTAAACTCATTTACCCAAACGATGGGACCATTATGGTGCAAGTCAAGTAGGTTGGATTGAATTTAAGTTAAACCCAAACCCAACCCTATACATTGAACCTAAGGCTTTAGATCAAAGTCAGGCTTGATTTGTCCAACTTGGTCTCACCCTGCATTGAAATTTGTTGCATTTGGATTAATCTTGGACTTTGTTATGTCAATTAGGTCATGACAATATTTGACATAAAATACATGTGTATAATTGCGTACACATGCATGTATCCATTTATGTGCTATATATGCATTTATGATTGTATGAATATAATAGGGCCTAACTTTAGCTATCTAACGGATAAGCTTGGGTCCAATACGAAAAATAAAAAAGAACAAACTTTTGAGACTAGACTTAGGCCTAAGTTGAGAATCAAAAATCGAATCTAACTTGTCTAAAATTATGAGATGGGTCCATTCGAGCTCGAGCTAAGCCCACCTAATATGCCTCCTTATAGACCATTGACCATCAATTAAATGCAAAAATGGTTTTCCTTTAATGTTAATTTACTATTAGGCAAATTTCTTAAAGTATCCCTAAGGTTTAGGAAATTAATTAACTCTATCCTTACCCCAAAGTTTTCTAACAATTGTCTAAGACATCCCCTACCGTAGTACCGTTAACTTTGAATCACATACTGTTCACATGTGACATCACATGACTGACCTATTTTTCAAAAATTCCAAAATTACCCTTTCAGGGTCAAAAATGCCCTTCCAATTTATGCTCATTGAAGCTTGGACCATGATCTATGAGGATGAGCTTTGTGGGATGTTCTCTTGGGCAGGGCGACGGTGCTTCACAACCTTCAATGAAAGAGATGATGTTGATGAATGGTTGGTGCTTGGGTGATTAGAGGAAGAGGACATCCAGGTTATGATGGAATGAACATGGCTTCTAGCCTTTTGACAAATGGATTTCGGTTTGTCTATGATAGAGCATGGATTCTGAGTTGGAAAAGCTATAGAAACTACTACAGATGAAGTAGGAGACGAAGTAGTAGCAACAATTTGAAGTTTGGGATCCTCTTCCGAATTTGAATTGGGAACTGTCTAAGCTCTCGGGCTCACCTTTGCCAACACATCGCAGAAAGCCTTATGAGTGATAAAACTAGAAAAAAAAGTCATAGAAACATGTCTTCGAATGTTGCATTTTAGCACCACCATCAAAGCCCGGACTTATAAAGAGATAAATTAAGGAAGAGAAAAAAAACCTAGAAAACAAAGTTTTTACAATCGCGTTTGTATTCTTAGGTTCTACATGTCTTCAAATGTATGCACCTTGCTTGATCGTTGCCTGATCTTCCAATGAAGATTGTGTCCGCGACAGTGAAATTGCAAGTTTTGATCTCATTGGAACCCCTTATTGCAGACAAAAAAGAGAGTGCATTGAATTGTAGATTGAAATATGGAAGATTAGGTCTTGTAAATTCAACGAATGGACATCTAAGATTTCGAGAATCCAAGATTAGCTCTTATAAATATCGGAGATTAGCTTTGAAATATCAAATACCATCCCATTGACAAGAAACAACAGAGAAATCACCGCATTGAACCAATTTCACAATCTAGGCATCCAAGATTTCAGCTCAGAAGGGGATGAGGAGCTGAGAGCTAGAGCCTTTGGTTATGAGTTTATGCCGATGCTGATTGCAAGCATTGGTTTTGGGAAAACTCCGCTTCTGAGTTTATGCCGATGCTGATGACAATAGGATGCATTTTTATATTAATTAAATGTTTATCTTTAATCTTACCTGAGGTTTCAGGAAGATTGCGCTTTTTCTTGTTGTCCTCGACAGCGAAGTTGATTGGTTACAAGACAAAGATGCACACTAGCTTCTACTAAAGCTGTAAAATCAATAATGGCGGACATATTCTCCAACTCCACAAGCATGTTTCTCCAAATTCTAGGATTCTTAGGAAAATAGACTCCAATAGAATCTGGAACTGGGATTGATGTTCAATTCTAGGCAGTGGGTGTCGTCGGCAGCACCAAAGGCGTATTTGAGCTTCGAGTTGGACAAGAGGACTGTCAGAAATTTGAAGACGTTGAGTTGAGTGTTTTGGGTGTGGAGAATGCGCATAATTTGCAAGAATTGAGGAATAATTCTAGACCCAGGAGACAACGGTTGTAGTAGTAACCATTGTAGGTAATGAAACGTCTCTCCATAGACCATGGCGGATATTCTTTTGAGATAGGATTTAAAGGAAAAGTAAAGTTGATATTTCATAATTTCCATTAGGATTTAACAATAATGACAATTGTCAGAAAACTTGATGGTACTTTAAAACAATATGTAAATAGTAAGGATACAATTAGTCAATTTCCTAAATCTTAGGGGTATTTTAAGAAATTTATCCTTTACTTTTTAATTATATTTCTATCATTAATAAAAATAACTATTATTTATAACACTTGTTTTTATTTAATATGATGAATACATAATATTAGAAATGCACTCACAAGCTTTTTTATAAAATTCTTATGTTTTTAATAATTTTCATCTCTATCTTTTTTAAAATTTTTATTATGATATCATGGGTTAACCCATTTGACCTAAAAGGTTGAACCATTAACCCACTACTTGAATAGGAAAATAGTTTTGCTTTTGGGTTATTAATTTCCATCGAATAAAAATACTTTTATTTAGTATGCTCATTATTGTTTGATATGATAAATAGATAATATTAGAGATGTGGCGAAAATTTTCACAAATTTTTATAATTTTTGTAATATTTATATATGTATTTATTTTTAAATTTTTATTATTTAACTATGAGAACATTGATTAACCAATTTGATGTAGATGGTTGAACTATTTACTTACCACTTAGACAAAAGGTTGGTTTATTTATTTATTTCTTGTGTTGGTTTTGAGCATAGGTTTTACATTATTAAAAATATTGGATATAGATTTAATTTGTAGAATTTATTGGTGAGAAAAATAATTTAAATAAAGTATTTAAGGAGAGAGAACGAGAATTAATACCTTAAGGAAAGGGAATTTAATGAAGTAGAGAATAATAGAACTTTAAATTACATTTTTTGCCCAAATAGTTAAAAAGGGACTAAATTCATATATATGGGTATTTTAGTAAAGAAAAAAATCAACAAAGCTCATTTATTTAATGTGTCTTAAATACAAGATTAGATAAAAGGACATGGGAGTTAATACCTTACATATAGGACTTAATGATGAAGAATATATATTGAATTTAATAAAAGTAGTAGTTCAATTTGTGTTTTTTGCCCTCATAATATAGGGAGACCAAGTTAAAAAAAATAAGAATATTTTAATAAAAACAAATGTAGAATCTAAATCTCATTCACATTTTTAATAGTAGTATAGATATGAATATAGGGAAAAGATATAGATTTACTTGGAGTTAGATAAGGTGAATTTAGGGAGTCCGAATCACCAGACAACAAAATGTGTTCCAACACCATATCAACATGATTTGATACCACACATCTCATACATGGTTGGTCCTAGTCTCATAGTGAGATTGTGGTGTCAAATCTTGTTGGTAGGGTGGGATGTGTTTTGTTGGCAGGATATCCCAACTCGAATTTTAGAGTGGTAATCACTGTAATCTAATTCAGTCTGTTATGACCCCCTACCCCACCCCAATTAGGTGTGGTTTTTTACCATGGATTGGGTTAAGGGTGTTATTCTAGTCGGGATGGTATATATATATACCATTACTATTACTACTATAAAAAGTAAAAATAGGTTTTGGTTTCTAAAATTTATTATTAATGGAAATATATCTTTTTAGAATATAGTCCCTTTTTTATTGTGAGGTCAAAAAGTGTAGTTTGAATATTATTATTAATTTAATTTAATTCTCTCTCATTAAATTCACATTTAAGGTATTAATTCTCATTCTCCCTCATTGAATCAGGCATTTTTGTTTTTTACCACTAAATTCCATTAATTAAATCAATACATAATAATTAATTTTAATAATATAAAATCTTATATTAGGTGGTGGTAAAAATTTCAATCATTTTAAGTCAAATGGGTCAACTCATGATACCATAATTAAACAATAAAAATTTAAAAATAGATAAAATACAAAAATATAGAAAATAAAGAAAATTTAGGACACATCTATAATAAATAAAAAATAATTTTATTAATAAAAGAAATGGAATATAAAATTTAAAACCAACTAGAAATGAAACCATTTTCTCTCTCATTAAGTCCCATACATAAGTCATTGACTCTTATTCTCTCATTAAATCCTATATTTAAGGTATATTTATTTTCCATTATTAAATTCTTTTAATTAAATCTAC